TTTTTTTTTTTTTTTTTTTTTTTTTTTTTTTTTTTTTTTGCATAATGCGTAGTAATGAAGAATCCTTTCTAAAGCTATTATTTGTAATTTTCCTACTCGTCTGTTATAAGTACCTGGTAAACATGTGTACATTACATGAAACATTAATTTGGTAACCTGCCCGAAGTAAAACAACAAAACTTTGACTTTACATCTTGTATTACATAACACTCGTGTGTACGTAAATAAAAATGTAATTTGTGTTAAGCAAAAAAAAAAAAAAAAACAAAAAAACAAAAATAAGTAAAAGTAAAAAAACTTTTGCAATTTGCGCTCACTCTCTGTGCATACAAATATGCACACATTAGAAAATTCGTATGTGCTTCAGAACTTCAGAAGAATATCAAGGAAATCTCTTAGAAAAAAAGTTTTACATATTATTTTTTACTTCATCTCTGTATATAAAGTATATGCATATGTAAGAGTAAATGTTTTCACTGCAGGCAATGCATCAATCTTTAGCAAGTTTTTTGCCAAAAACACTACAGAATAGCTTCAAAAGCTCAATTTTTTTTTTTTTTTTTTTTTTTTTTTTTTTTTTTTTTTTTTTTTTTGTATTTATACTCGCCACACTGGTTGTATAATATTGGATTTGTTATAAAGTTTCGTAACGCATAACGAAGATCCCCTTAGGTATGTAGATAACTCAGCAAAATGATTTAAGGAAGCAATTTAATTTTATTACATTTGTCTTGTATTTGAGTTTACTGAAGACGTGATTTCCGCTTTAAGACTTTGCTTAGGAGAATTGTTTTTTCTTGTTTTAATTATGTGACCAAATCATTCAGGGAACGTCCGCTATATGCGTAATATGATGCTGGTCGGAAAGAAGTGATGAAAAAGGAAACGACCACGGGAACCTGCCGCAATCTAATGATTTTGTGCACAATTGTGTAAATTTTGTTCCTCTACCGACTGAACACTCACACTATAAATACGATTAAAATTGAGATTTGAACCCCAGAACACTTGACAGACTTGGTAGTCACGATTCGTACTTGTTCGGCTACTCATGCTTAGGGAAATGGTATTTATTATAAATTCTTTCTGTCAGAGTAAGGTAGTAGTGTTTTAAGCGGTTACTAGAAAATTACGCGTTTTCTTGTTATGTTTTGATTTTATATCAATTTTGGTATCCCAAGGAAATACTTATTAACGCTACTTAAAATGCTTTTGTAACAGTTTTGTAATAAAAGAGCGTTTTTAAGTCACCCAAACCATAACAAAAAATACCTTATGATTTGTGATGCCTCTGCGACGTTGCTCAGTATACGGCATCCAATCCATATGAAAGACTTGGCTCTTAGCGTTGCTTGTATTATTGTTGTTATATTCTTGTGTGAAAATTTTCAATTTTTCGAAAAAAAAAGATTCCAATTCGATCAAAGATATTTTAAAAATGACAAAATGAAGAAAATCAAAATCAAGGTCTGCTATGAAAATACAAGATTTCTATTGTAAGTCTTCTATTTAAAGTCTTAAAAATTGATCAGCATAAGGCAAAGACAGGGATTAGAAATAAAGCCACTTGCATACATTCCAGTAGATCAAATAATGGAAGCAATGTATCAACGAAGTCTTAATACGCCTCAATGCTTGTTCATTTAGCTTGAAAGGAAAGTATTTATATATGATTTAAACCGAAAGACAATAAAAAACGGAAAAAGGGAAATCATTGCATAATTACTAATGCAATGCAATATATGTTAGTGTTTAAAGAGGTCAATAAAAAAATGCAAATGGACGCAAAAAGTTATTCAGCACAATTAATCCTATGAATGCCGTGATTGTTGATTTTGATTTTTTGTAAAATATTCAATATACACATATATCACAATAGATATGAATCTTTGACGAGAATCTGAATGTAAAAAAAAAAATACTTAAGTTGGCCAATTGTTAACAAATTCTATTTCAAATTCCATTTCTATTGAAAGCAATTACCCATTAATCCATAGGTTAAGTGTAGTTGTGGGATGATATGTTTCTCTGATATTCTTTTCTTTTTTTAATTTCTTTATTTACTTGAACACTTCCTAAAATGTCGAAAATAATATAAAGCATCTGTTCAGGAGGCTATGATATTTTAAATAGGACAAAACAGCCCACTCATAGAGCCAC